TCTTATACTTAATATTTACAACGTTAATAATTTATACATTGAATGACTTTTGTCTGTATAAAAATGGAATAAAATATATTTTTGATTACGTATCATTGGCTTCCTTCCCCCTCTTGGGTGCGACTTGAAGACATGGCTTAGAGCATCAGCTAATGTCATTGCAGTGTCTCTGATCGCGAGGTCCTAGGGTCGAGTCCGAACGGTGGCAAGATTTTCGACACTACCTACATAGCTAGGTCGAATTCAGTTGCTGTCTGGAGGAGAATTCTAGCGGCCGGCTGCTCTGATCAGTAGTTTCCCGTGGTTTCTCCAATCAACACCAGGCGAATGCCGGAGCAATACCCTAACAAACGGGATACGGATCGCGCGCGCTCTGCCATTCCTCTTGTCGTATCGCCATTTCTTACTTACACTTACATGCATTACGCCACCACACCTAATGGGAGACGTGTCCCCGGCTGGGGCGGTGCCCCGCTCGTGTGAGATACTTGGTTGGGGAACCCCGTTAGATGACGGTAGGTCGGCTCCGGATCTCACCATCCAGCGGGGAAAGATAACCGCCACCTCCCGTGGAAAATACATGCACTACACGTACGGGACCAATGACCTTTGTAGTGGACGCGCTAATCACTAATCTGATAATATTGGGTGCGCCACTGGCAGTGAGTGCGTACTTAGAAGACACGACGATTAATCCATTTAATGCGTTTCTGAAAAAATCTGCGAGCGGGTGTCAGCCAGAAAATATCTTCCCTGCTCCTATCAGTAATTTTTGCAATTGTGCTTTTCCAGCACAATTCAGCAGCATTCATTCACATTGAAACCCACACACATCTGCTGCACAGTTACGGCAGGAAAAAATATTTATGAATATAAATTTTATTCTGAAATATAACACTGAAGTGAAGAAAATACTACACTTTTCTAATTCCATTTATCATGTAGATAAGTCGAATGCAATAAACATTGTTTTCTCATTTACGTTGACGGTAAGAGCTATTCTTCCCGACCATTGGCGAAGGGGGTGGCTAATTCTTTGATTGCCGTTCCTTTCCTAGACTCATTATGACAGGGGTGCTTAAAGCTTACGTTTGGTTCACATCATTTTCTGTTTCAATTGTCTTCTCATCTTCATTTTATCAATGAAATTCAGAAAACACAATTTTATTGAATATTGTGTTTTCTTAGCCAACTTGTGTCTCTGGATAGAAATATGTAAATGTTGAACGCAATACACTGAATGGAAATTTTTTGGAGGATGCGAAATGTATTGAGTATAATGGAACATTGATTTCGTTTCTCAGTGATCGGCATTTCAGTCTATGATTTTATTCGTCACTGGTGCAAAGTGATCGTGAAATACAAAGGCTACATATTGTCATCGATAGAGATCAATATAAAAGAATAGATATATCGATCAGGTTTTCGTCCTGTTTCCCTGATCCTCGAACAAATGCTGAGATGGCCCCTTGTTTGATTCTGGACATAAATGTAACTTCAAATGAACTTCTCCCCATAGCACGTCAAACACAGTTTTTAACTGTTTTTGATGTAAATAAATAAAATAAAATAAAATACTAAGATCGACCGAATGATCGTAAAAGTTTGTTCAGCTACGTTACCTACGATTTTATACTCTCTTTTTTGTAGACTGGTGGAAGACATTATGCATTTTGGCGTGTTAAAATTAATTCTAAAACATACTACATTTGTTTTCGTAAACAGCATCGAACATGGTTAACAAGTTTGAATATCAAGTTCTATTTAGGCACTAAAAATAAAGACCGTTGATGATCATGAAGTCATAACTTTGCAGTAACTGTGTAAAACGATGTAATAAAGAGAATACGACTGAAGTTTCTTCGCTTTGAACTATAACATTTAATTTAAACGCATGTCAGACCAACTATTGTTCTTAATCTACGAATGTAAAGAACAAAGCCTCGTCACCCGCTACAGTAGAATCCCGGTTTTCCGAAGTGATGAGGTTGGTGCATTCTTGGATAATCTGAATGAAGGAGCAGTAATACTAGAAACTGTACACAGGATTTAGTTTTCAGAGAAAAGCAATTGACAGAATTAATTCCCCACCCAAGTACCTCCTCATTCTCGGAATGCAGTCATTGTTGGCAATTCAAACGAGTAAAATTTTATAGATGCAAATTAGGATGAATCAAGATGTGAAACTCACGATTCTCTTGCGTCGATTTCTCATGCTGAATTCCCCCATTCATTCGCAAATTAAAAAAGAAAAGTTAAATGGATAATACTTATTGTAAATCCAAGTGCGTAGTATAATAAACGTATTATGCCCATCTTTGGCTGTCTATATACAATAACCCATTAAAATTAAAAAGATAAATTATAGAATCAATTCGAGCACGTTTAATTTTTTTTATTTTTTACATACACAAATATTTTATTATCTTTTTAAAAATTGAGCACAAAATTGAGGCTGAAACGTGGGTCAATTGAAAGGCGTCTGATGAAAACTTAACTCGGTTAATCTAGATCTCGATTAATCAAAACTCAGCTAATTGAGATTTTACTGTGTGTAAATTTCATTTCAGTTATAAGTCAATAGAGAAATCAGTGGAAAAATAACAGACCGGAAGGTTCTTATATTCCACATAACAAATGGCCTCCTTTAATTCATAATTTTTGCATAACTGAATGATTCGTTCATGGGCGCGCATTCGTCCCTCACGATTTCCTGTCTCTTGACAATGATTTGAATTCAGCTTCCGCTGTTTTCTACGTCAGCTACTTGCCGCAATGTGCTTCGGAAGGAGTTCTCCCGTAACGTCTTTCTAAAATGATGTGAAGAAAACTATGTCTTCGGATAGTCCTCTTGTGTTTGTGAGGATTAGTTTAAGCTGTACCACACAAATAGCATGTTTTTGAGACAATCTAGCTCCGTTTGTGTCTCCAGTGATGTCCGATTATTTCCGTTCGTTGTGTATTGTTTTAAGTTATGCAAAGTAATATGTTCCGTTTTCCTACATGGGTAATGCGGCTGGAGTGCATTAAATTATCTTCTTTCGGGAAAGGATTGCAATGGGGCAAGAAAGGACGATATGTTTTTCTGTTTTTTTAAATTTTGTATTGTTATAACAGAAGCATCTTATTGAATAACACTCAATGTGGGGACATTGTGTTAATATCAAATTTAACGAAACAGACGTGTTCTTTATATTGCAATACTTTGATATTCCTTCTTTGACTTCGTATTCTCTTGGGAATTGAAAGAATGACAAGTCAGGAACATACTGTGCTCTATATTAATTCCAAGCGTACCGGAACAGACACTTTCTTCATTGCGATACTTTATGACATTCCTTCATTGACAACACGTTCTCATCCTGGGAATCGCGAGAGTGACCCGCAATGAGCGGCGCGTACCGTCGGAATTCTTCTCGCATGCTTAATGTTAATTACCGGGCTTACCGCGTGAATGCGCTTTTCTCAGGCGAGTAGTACGCTACCTCGCGGTGCGCTCCCACGGGACCCCTCCATTATCTTGACAACTGGAGCTTCAGTGTTGATTCTTTCTTTCTTTTTTTATATAGTACCCACCCACCGGTTTCTGTATGCGCTCTTCTGCCTCGAAAAGCGCGCTTCCGTGTGCGAGCACAACATCGTAAAGAAGGAGGCGGCGACGCTGCCGCCAGAGGTCGCGGCGGGGGACATTTCAGGCAAAGGGGCGTTGTCCTCCGAGGACGAGCAATAAGCCAAATATTTCCTCTACCACACAGATGTTTGATATCCCGAGCGGAGAAAGTGCGGCATTGTGTGCGTAGGGCAGAGTGGCCTCCGTGAATGAGCTCTTCGTTCCAGCTGTCGTGTGTTCTACCGATTGCTTTCTAATAGTGTACTATGGGAATTGAATCATTCACGGATATGTGAGAAGAATTGTCTAACATTATTCATGTATGTTTCGTTGATTCTGTTAATGATACGGAATAGATATTTTCACGAATAAATTAAAATGATGCTGTGTATTGAACAACACTTTAACTCTATATTAATATTTTTGAAACGTTCAATTCTTGTATTTAGCTACGCGCCATGCGCGTCATGTCTTAGGCTACTGTCTGTTCCGTCCTCACTCTTTTCGTCTTTTCTTTGGTCTTTCTACGTGTCTTCTTCCTCTTGGTGCGTACTTCAAACCTGCTTTTGGTAGTCTCTTCGTATCATTCTCTCCATACGATCTACCATGTTTGCTAGCTATAGTCTTGCAATCTAATATTCACTACTTTCATTTGAAGTTGTTTCCTTATTTCTTCATTTCTTATTCGGTTTTCTCATGTGTATCTTCGGATTCTTCTCAAAATTTTCATTTCACTACATTGTTTTTTTGCTAATGTTTTTTTTTTGTGTTGGTATCCAATTGTCACATCCGCAGAATAACTTACGGTATTGTAAAATTTAATTCACTTTTCTGGCATTTGTCTTATTTTTTAGTGTTGTATGTAGTTTCACATGTTGTTTGATATTTCATCTACATATTGTCTGTATCTTTATCTTTTTCACTACTTCTTCTGGAACTTGAATAATTGAAGAAGAGAACTTGCTCTAAAATTTTATTTTCAGTGGCACTTTTATTACTATTTTTTTCGTATAGACTTGTACACATATTGTTATAATCTACTTTTTGGAAATATTAATTTGTTGTGGAATTAATTTTCAGAATATAAAATGCCGTACCCATATACTTGAACAATCTTTCAACAACACCTTGTTCAAAGTTTGAAAACGCGAAAGTGAACCGTCTGTACTTCGTAGTCACTTTGATTCCGCCTCAAACCGCGTTGTGGCGTGCACCACTTGCACAGGCGATTCGCGTTGCACGAACTGAAACCGTGGTTCTTCTCGCCTTCCTTCCACGTTGAGCTCCGGTTTCATCGTGCGACCAAAGCGCGGGTCTCCCCCCCCCCTCCTCCTATCTGCCGCTGCATCTTCCCGCGTGATCATTATTCGGCCGCCGGCGCCCGGCGGAGGCGGCGGTGGCGGCGTGTCCCAGGCCCGCCGGCGCGGCGCTGACCCGTGTGCTTGTGTGCGCAGGACGCGGCTGGGCGAGAGGATGGTGAGCATGAGCTCCACGTTGGTGGAGACAGTCTCCATCAACTACGAGGACTTCAACGAGAGCTTCCTGACGTGCGGCACCTGCCTCTGTGAGTAGCGCGCGATGCATGCACGTTATCAATGTTTCTTGATACCGCATTTGTCCTGTTCTGCGCATGTTATATTCCTGGGGTTGGCGGGTTCCTCGCCTCCCCTCCACCACCACTCTACAGGAACGTGAGATCCAGCACCGATCTACACGTTGACTTGCGGGTTTTCCCTCACCAGATATCTCCCCCAGCGAGGTGCAACCTCAGCCAGGACAAGCGCTAATGCTCCGACCGTTGTCCTGACTTGTGATAGTGTAGTGCTGGTGTGTGTGTGTGTGTGTGAAAGAGAAGAGGAAAGAAAGATAGCGCCGAGTCCGTTGCTAGTTTGTTAGAATACCGTTCCAACATTCGCGTGGTGTTGATTGGAGCAGTCGATCAAAACAGTCCAATTCGACCCAACTATTTATCTTGTGTCGAAAATTCGTCATTCGGGACTCGAACCCATAAGCTTCCCGGTCAGTGATGCTGCCGAGGCAACGGTGTTGCCCCTGAGTTAGCGCAGCCGGTTTGACGAATGTGCTTCTGCTGCGTTTCGTTCTCTCGGATAGTCAAAATAATAAGGAAAATGGTTATTTATCTCACACGTGGCTAAAAGAACCCTTTAGATTTAGATTTATTCAGTCAAAAAAACAGTAAAAACTGTATGTGACGCAGGGGGGAGAAGATTATCTGCGCACTTTTCTTGAGTTCCAGAATCCATTCCCGTCATTTTAACCATAAATAGTTGAAATATTTATAAAAGTTTAACATAAATAAAAATAAATTTTAAAAATCGTATGATTAGCAGTTTTTGAAAAATAGTCATTTTTGTTTCTAAGTTATAGAAAACTTATTTGAATTGGTACACGAATTTCAAGTATTTTTTCTTTGTGGGCATGTTAGTTGATTATTCACGAACGTAGTAACGAGAGCACATAATAATATTTTAGTGACTTGTAATAGACAAAGTATTATCTTATCCGATTGTCTTTTGACATTTTGGCATATATTCTAATCGTATGTCCATGTGAGTAATGATATTATATTGACTTCCGTAGAACCCTTTATTATATTGAATATAGTAATCAGGCATTTTGATGTTCTGCAGGTAGTGTTATTATATCGGATATAATAAAGAGCCATTTAGTGTAGGTTTACTCCGAACACGTAATTTAATAACGTATAATGGAGGTCGCTTATAATAAAGTTTTTCTAACATATGTAAGAAGAAATGATGTTTTATCTAATGAACTAAACGATTTTTAAGTTTCATCAAAAATGTATTGTCAGAGGAAAATTATTTTCTTCACTAAGTAACCTTTCTATATAGCTTTTCGATCAGATTTGCGGAAATTCTCGACATTTGGTATATCTTTGCCGATAGGAAGTGTGGATACATTCAGAGAAAGGAAGACATCAACATCAAGAACAAAAAAAAAAACAACAACAACAACAACAACAACAACAACAACAACAACCTACATAAAATGTATGTTTCCGTATTTTAACAGTAGTTTTGAATAAAACAGGCCATGTATTAACGGACAAAGTTGGCAAGAATGATTACATTAATGAAGGACAAGAGCAGAGGGAACGGGAGAACCCTGTGACAATCAGCCCCAAACCCGTTTCTTCCGCTGCACTGTACACGTGGAACGTCAGACATTCGATCTGCAGCTCCGCAGTGCAGTTCGATCTGCAGCGCAGTTCAAATAAGATAGACTAGGTACTGAGGTGCCATGTCCTAGCTGTAGAATTATATGTTGCGATGGTAGTTAAATGTGGTAATTAAGATTTTTCAAGGAATTGTATTGCTTTGCCAGATACATTTTCTTTGAAGTGTTAAGAGTTCATCCACAAGTGACCGTACCAGTTTTTGCGAGAAGGTTCACCGTGCGAACGACTTGTTGTACAAACCGTTGTACTACTGCGTTACAATGCTATCTTTGTAATAACAGGCATTTGGCGTAAGTCCGGTTAGGCTTGGGTAGAGGCGTGCGTTAAGGTAGCATATGATCACCATAGCATTTTATTTATTCATGGGTACGCTTTGAGACAGCCAAAACAATGGCGCAAAAAAGAGTCTGATACAATGCGGCTTTCCTTTGCTCGTATCCCCTGCAGATGTCGTGTCTTGGCTTACACTCACCGTGAGAATTCAAATGAGCCGGTTTGCATTTCCGTCGTGGGAACGTTTTTTACATGCTTGAGTGAGAGGAAACAACAAATATTTATCTTGCGTATCGTGGGTGTTTGAGGGCCCCTTGTATTGATAGTTTTTGTATGGAAAGCTGTTAAATTTAATTTTCAATATAAATCGGGGCCAAAACAATAAGTTTTTGTAAAAAAAAAAAAGTAATAGGATGCCAATGAGGATATAGTAGAAAACAAATGTTGAGAAACATGTTATTTATTTTTTATTTTGAAAGTGACTTCCAAGATTTAGCGTACATTGTTTGATTGAAAAGCGAGCGTGTTGTTTCAGATTAATTTCGAGTACGAAATAATCAACAATTCTAGGATGCAGGCTCGATCGTTTGTCTTGACTTCGCCACTAATTTCTCTTTTTAAAATGTCATACCGTAAATTATAATTATATTACTTCCTACCTCATGTGTAAATATTATTTGAGTTGCAATTACGATTTGAGAGACCAGTGACGTCGAAAACTTAAATGAAGCACAACTACTGTTCTAAATGAAAGTTCTTTCTCTCTCTAAAACTCTTGGCTCCGTTCAGATCCTGCCAGGATGGGTTACTGTCACCTCGTGACATCGCCCTTGAACCCTGGCCCTGGAGAAAGAGCCACCCATCGCGTGGTCTACAAACCTCTGGATGAGCGTAATCGAAATCACGAGAACAGGCGGTGACGTAGGAGTCAATCTGAAACGCAGGAGTAATAACGACTGGTTTAAGCTTTAATGAATGAAAAAAATAATATTGGGTTATTTTCGTCAGCTTTTGAATTGTTTTATAGAATAATGGCTCTATATAAAGTTGAGATCCTGAAAAGTGAATTGCTTCCTTCACAACGTACTGTAGAAATGTAATTTTAACAAGATACTGCGAGTAAGCTTATTACGTTGGAGAAAGATGAGGAAACTCGTAATGACACATCTTGTGACCTCTGTGAGAAAAGGAAATCTTTCCAAGAGGACTCGAACCGGACAGTGGCAGACAGTTCTAGATTGAAGGACGCATGGTAATTTCAGTATTACATTTAGTGTTGACTCATTTGCAGCAATTGCGAAAAAAATACCAGCCAGAAGATACAGCGGCAAGGCAAACTGAATGTTATGGTAAACTTAATGAAAAGCTTAATTATGAAATACATTGGTATCATTTGTACGAAATAATAAAGTTCTGGTCTTTCTTTTTAAAACCTGCACATATTAATTAAGATAAATGCATGTTTTGTTTTGCAGTGATGTATTTTCTATTAATTTATAGCGAGACAACAATAAACTGTTAGCACAAGAGAAATGAAATATGTAGTGTATGGTTCTGGCGAATACCAAACGTTTATTAGAAGTAGAAAAATTACTTCATAAGGTCGAAACGTGATTTTGGTGCCAAGATTGTTATGCTCATACATTGTTTTGTGCTTCGTTAATGGGAGTTGTACCTGCAAATTGAGTCAAACATACCAAGGTGTCCCTGTACTAAAAATAAGAGAAAGTTCATAGAAAAGTGAAAGCAAATAGACTCCTACGGGCTGTGAAGAGCTTTATATTGAAAGACTGTTCAAGAAGCGAAGACATGAAAAAGGAGAACGGAAAAATACTTTAAGAGAAATGATAAGCTGTTACCAACATAATGGTAACATGGGTAAAAAGACTGACAGAAGGGTGCTGTGAGAGATGTGTTTCAAAAAAGCAAGAGGACGCCAGGTAAACCTCGAACCAAATAGCTCGGAGTTTGAACAGATCACGTACCTAATCCATAATACTATAAGAAATGAATAAATTATGAAGGATAGTAAATAATCGATGAATAAGCTTGTAGAGAATCCATGTTCAGTACCCTCTTCTAAAACATGACTCGGCGCTCGTCAGAGCACAGGATTTTGGTGATAATAAGCAAAAATAAGTGTTAACTCTCGCCTTCCGTCTCTGCATCCGTGGTGGAAACACCAGCTGGTGAAGGCGACTGTCGTTCTGCCTAGAAGCTTTCCTTTCACTGGCCTTACCGTCCCTCTGTTGAAATACGAGCGGGCGTTTCAACGTTAGGAGTTCGAAACTCCGAAGGCATTGTGCGCGTAATCAGAGTAGATCATCGATAAAGTCGAAAGCAACGGTAATAAAATACAAAACGAACAACAGAATGACTGTCGGTGAGCAAGTAGTTGTTTTCGTATTATCTGGATGATCTGTAAACAAAATACTTAAATAATCTCAACACCGCACTCCCCTTTTCTATTTGATTCCACGTTCGCGGCGGGATAACGGTTTCGAATTTCAAATATCTTTGGAGACCAGTTATTTTGATTCTTTTCCCGTGATATTTATTTTTCGTCCGTTTTAATTTTCTATAATGTTTAGAGAAATCACACTAGAATAGTTCATTCGTGAGTTAATATCGTCAGGAACGGAAGAAAGGGAGTCGCATCACCAACTAATAACATGTAGCAAGTTGAAATACATAATGAATCAGGTCTCATGGTCTCAGTGATTTGTCAGACTTTTTGAAAGATACATTGAACAAATGTTGTATTATTAATTGGATTGTTGGTGACATAGATACCTTTTTATTATGATAAATAAATAAAGATATTGTCTGGTATCAATATTTTAATTCAGCTTATGATCATTTCGATCACGTAGCGATCATCCTCAGAGCTCTGAGCTCTTTATTTATCATAAATGTTGTATTACTAACGAAACACTGCTTATATAGTTTCGAAATTAAGAAAAACTCGCATGGTAAGGCATGTAATCCAATTCTAAAGCCTAATTTGTGCATCGAATGCTCACATCGGAAATCCTTGCGCGGGCCGGCCGGAAGTTCTTATGCTGCGAGGAGGAAGTTCCGTCATTTAAGCCTGGCGCTGGTATGCCGCTGCAAATGTGGTCTGCGGTGAAGGTCATTGCGACAAAGAAAGGCACGTCCCTTGTTTGCGATGAACGAATGCCTGGGGAGTTTCCTGTGGAGGGGAGACGAGAGCAAGAAAAAGGAATAATAGAAAAAAAGACGACGAAGAAAGACGTCGCGGATGACGGCGCAGCGGGCGCGCGGACACGGTCCACTGGCCGCTCGCAGTTATCTCGTCTGCGATGGCCC